TTCTATAAAGATATTCTCAGAATTGAAGAACCCCATAGAAATTTTCTGAACAAAGATTTATTTTCTGAAAATATTTTCAGCTATTGCTTTTTATATATAGTTGCCTTGACTGATGCAGTTTATATAATAGAGCAGTAAGGCCTACTCCTACACTTCAAGGCCTTTCTCTTGCTGAGGTATACCAGGCAATATTGCATCTATGCTGGTGAACAGATGAGAGATGAAAGCTTCTTTCCACAATGAAGGACATTCTTGATGTTGCTGAATCTCATTCAATACCTGAGCGAATGATTTAATCAAATTTTCTAGAAACGTGTAGCATATTGCTGAGATGTCATCATGTTCTGGAACTCAGGTTCTCATGGGTCTCATTTACTTCCATTAAATCTAGTTGATTATAAATGTCTTTAATCCTTTGTTTTAAATGGGTTATGATTGTCTCTTAATTCTAATTGCTTCAGTTCATTCACAGGACGTCCTTCTGCTTTTGCATAGATTTCAATATGAAGCTAGAGAGATATGCAGTCTTTCATAAGTGCTTTGCTAGAGTGCCATACTGTAGATAAAAAAAATTAGAGGTTAAATTGATTTGGAAACTCTTTAATTCTTGTCATTTCACTTTTGCGTCCACTTGTAGTAGTAAAAATTTGTTATGTTTCCACCTCATCAGCCTGGAGGTTTCTTTATTTAATCTTACAATTATTGGAATAATATATGCATATGTAGCACTGCTACTTCCACATCTATAGGATTAGTTAACAATGACTTAGAAATCCAGCACATATTCATTATAACATCCAGCACATATTCATTATGAACTAAAGAATAGTAAATAAGTTCTTTCTCTGCAAGGTATTTGCATCAGAATACATTGAAAAGAGATACTAATGACATACAGAGTAAAACATTATGGGGAAGTTTACCAGAGTTCCTTTTAGATAAAGCAGATTTGTCCATGTTTCAGAAGAAAAAACCCTTAATCATATCTTTGAGAATCAGAATATCTCTCTTTGCACCTTACAAAAAGATTGAAAAAAAATATTTACTAGACCTTTATTTTGTTATTGTATGGGACATAAATTGAACCAATTGTTACTTTCCGAAATTCAGTCTGAAAACATAATATTATAAATCTCTCAAGTTCATCTTGGATTTGTTTTTCAAATTCCATATTAAAATTTTCAAATATACAGCTAGTCCATTTTTTCTTGTCTGCCTGAGGCCACAAATGTGTGATCAAAATATTTTCATTCCAACACATTTGCATTCTCTTTTTTAATATGGGAGTCTTGAAAACATGTAATATGTGCATTTTCCTTTCAGAGCTTTGTCCAACTTTTGGTTTTCTGTCTGCTTTTACTACTGTATTCTCTATAGAATACAGTATAGATGAGTGACTATAATAGAGTGACTCTATTCTATTGGGATCATCAGTGGAATATACAAAAGCTTTGCCACCATCCATAGAGGCCTATAGATGAAATGGAATGGCCATCCATATTAGATCTTTCTTTCTTTGAACCATTGTCAGAATTTTCAGGTTTCCCTTCTTTCTAAGTATATCTTTAGGTATATTTGGTAGAATCTCAGTTATTCTGTCTCTGAATTTTAAGGGAGTATCACTCCTTTTTAACTCTAGTATTGCTTTTTTAATCTTGAAATATGTGAATTTAACAAGTAGTGTGGCATTTTACTTCTTTGTGCTGTCCATGAATTTATTCTGAAGATTTCTTGTATTTCCAAAGTTTCATCTATATTCACATCACATTTTGAGTAAGTTTTCCATTTCTCTTTCTAAATCATCTTTCCTAAAATCCACATGTATATCTCTGAATTTTAAGTTATTTTTTATGTAGTTTTGTTTCAGCTATTTCCAGTTCGGCTTCCAACATGTTTAGCTTTGTCTTTTGGGTTTTCTGAACTGAAGACAACATCTGGTGACCATTAATTTGTTGTATTTTTCATTAAAGTCAGCCTTAAAAGAATTCAATTTTATTTCTAAATCTTTTTGTTTTTGTTGAATTCATGTGATGATATTATATTCCAGTATATGCAATTCATCTTTGACAAAGTCTATAATTTGTGATAAAGTAAAGCAGGTTCATGTGACAAATGTGGGACCTCTTTTGTTTTTTCAATTCCTTTCTTACTGTGTCATCTATCATTTTTGATAGAAATTTTACACCCAGAAATTCTTTTCATTGAACAGAACAAATTATGTAACTGAGAATAATATATTAGATAAACAAAAAATCAATAGCACCTCAATATTGTAATATATACAAATGTCCAGATAATACAAGAAAAAAATTCAGATTGCAAGGCAACACCCTAGTCTTAAGCTCTTAAAAGAAGAAATTTAAGTAGTGACTTTCTTTATACTAAAAGTCCAAGCAATTCCCCAGTCTAAATGTCTTAATCTGTGTTTTGTTTCAAAGTTGAAAACCTTGAGTAGATATTCCTCGCTCTTATGGACAGAAAAAATCCAGTAAAGTTCATTAAAAAGAGGAATGCATGAAAGTCCCAGAAAACTTATAGGTTAAACAAAGCTGGTTACAGGAATATAAATCCAGATAACGTAGATAGGCTAATAATCAGAAACAATTGTTTCCAGACAATTGTATAATTGTACTGAATATGCGGTTTTTTATCAATCCAAGTTTCTCTTTGGGTTTCTCACCAAAAGGTGAAATAGTAAAAAGTAGAAGTTGGTCACTACCTGCCATAAAATCATATAGCTGTCAAGAAAGATATAAATCTTCTTGAAGATTTTATAATCTTGTGGGTTTGCCTCTTTGGAGCAGTCCTCAGAAGAAAATTGTTCTTCTCCCAGGTCCATGACAGTTAACAAACATTAAGAATGGTTTCTTTCCTTAGTACAGAAAGGGGAAACTTGAAATATCTCCACCAAAGAAATTCTGCTGCCTCCCTAATGAGCCACCATCTTAAGTTTCCACAACAACAATTTTGTAGTCATAGATGAGGATATCATAGACTACAAAGATAAAAGAATGACAGCCAACAGTATATAAAACGCAATATTAATAACATATTATGTAAATTATTATAGCTCTGAGTTCTGTGAATAAAATTATAAAGTTGACACTAAATTCTAAGTTAAAAAGTATAACCTGCAAGATACAGTAATATAAATGTTAATAATAAGAATTAATCAACTATATGTCCAAAGCTTAATATAAGATCAATTTAGCTCTAATTTATGAAATGTAAGACTCTGTGTAATAACTCAGAATTTGCCGTTTATTCATTCTTCCTCTTAATTCGTTTGTAACAAATTTTATGAACTGCAGCTCAAAATAAGCAACTTTGCATGTCAGTGAGGGATTTTAATCTAATACTAGTATCTTCAAATATGTCTTAGCCTGCCTTGACAGTCTTGACAATATTTATTTATTTATGAAATTTCTGCATTGCCTCGGTCCATCTGGACTGAAGTTGGAGAGATAAGGGTATAGCTGAGACTGAAGAATGACCTGCTCAGCAGTCTCCATTAGCAAAGATGTTCCATATATGGGATCTTCTTATACCTCACCTCTGAGACTGGGGAAATCATTCAAGCGCATCAGTGTAAAACTAATGATTGTTGCTATGTTTTTATAATTATAAATCACCTAGGGTCTTGAGAGTAGGTGACACATAGATAATGGGATAAATAAATAAAGATAAAAGTCTTTTGGTGTATTGAGATTTCTATAGTGTGGTATAGTGGTGATAGCTTTGTTGCAGATTTTGTCAACTTCCCAATAAGGTCACTCAGATGGTCAACTGCAGTAGATTCTTTTACTTGACACCAAGGGAGAATACACTTTTACATACTTTCAATGATATAGCTCAAAGATCTCATCTCAGAAATTTATATTTATATAATCACTATATACATTACTCATTATCTAATTAACATACATTTGACCATGCATAGTTATATTTTAAACCTGTTGTTCTTTGGGAGGAAGAATAATGTAGAAATAAGGCCAAATAAATAGATGAATAGATATGCCAATGTAGGTATTTTTAATATACTGGACATAAAAACTGTCTTGTACCATTGTGCTTTTAATATTATATGTTTCATTATGCTCTCATTTTAAAGCTACTCTCAGATTTTAATGTATAGTATGACTCTTGCTCCTCCATTAGTTTTATAAATGTTTATGCTCTGATTTATATTTTTGTTGTATATCACTGAAGATGGCTTATAAATACAGGATAAATAATTAAATGCTGAGTTTTCCAGTTAGCATGATAGAACATTTTGCATTTAAATTCTTTTATTAACATCTGAGAAATTGAAATTGATCTACTTCATTTGTAATTTACAGGGTAGTTAATTCACATGCCATAATGCATTTGTTTATTTTAAATATATATTACCCTTCATTCTGCTGATTTTGAAGGCAGAACAAATTAAAGGATGAAATCATAAAATAAAACAAGCTAATATTCTTGAATAAATAAAATATTTTTCTCCAGATACAAAAAAAAAATGGTTCTCTAGTCATTGGGTGAGTTACTGTTAGGATGGATATTCCACAGCTGGAGACTGACACTGCCAAGAATCCCGTTTCCTTTATTATTAAATAGTATACTTCTAATAGAGTAGCCTGTTAAAGTAGCCTGTTAAAGTAGGCTTCAGCAGAACAATTGGGAGCAAAACAGTATTTAGCAATTTAGTGGGCTGCCAAGACCACATTCATATTAGAAAAGAATATGAATGCCATCCTTCTTACTCTTCCTCTGATTAGTTATGGCAGTGGCAACATGGGGGGATGTGGGGATAACATGGACCATTATGACTGCCATAATATATATCTGCAAAAAGGGCCAATGTATTAATTTGTTCAATGTAATTTGATTAGATAAAGTATTAAATACTGATTCTGCAGCTGAAAAACTAATTATCTTGCAGTGGAGTTAAATGCTAAATAATTTTTATTTTCTCATATTTGGTGACCATTCTATAAACATTTTCTTGTCCATAGGCTAAAGACACACTATGCATCATATGAGCCTATGTTAAGACAGCTGAATGAAAAGTATGAGATTCTAGTAAGAGAGAAAATGCTTACAAGTTTGGAACGAGACAGAGCTGTCGGGCAGGTAAAGCTTGCAGCACTTTTAGCCCACATTTTTATGGACACCATTTTAAGTATTGTAATAAATTATTTAATGTTTTGGTTAAAGTTTTATTCTGTGCTATTCCCCAAAATTCAAGATTGATCAAAGATACAAGCCAAAGTTAAACAATGCCCACCAAAGAGTTTTAAATTTTTAATTGAGTGTGGCACTAAATACACAGAATCTTCTCTCTTTTAAACAGTGGGGTTGTCTTTTTTAGAAAAGTGTGTTGGGGAAAGGAGAGGAAAACCAGTCTAAACACACTAGTGGCCCTTTGTTTACAATTGTAGCCTCTCAGGTCTACTGTTTGACAGGTCTTTATTTCTTAGTGTGAAGTGACATTTTGTAATTTGACATTTTAAAGCAGAATTCTCATTAAAGGTAATATTAATAAGTATTAATTTCTTAGGTAGAAAAAACACACATTTTTTTCATGCCTCAGTCCTTAGCATCACAATATTCATAGCAATCATCCTGTACTATTGTAGATATTATGTGTGTGGGTGTGTGTATGAAAACACATGGCAATCCACACTTGTACATAAGTTAAATATTGTCTGCTATTGCTTCATACTATGAGTAGTATTTCCATGTTTGATGCATACCTCTCATTCAGATCCATAAATCCAGATAAAAGCTACTGCTAATTATCATTATTTTCACTGAGGTTCCTGTCTCAGGAAGTTTTGATGGAGTGAATGAAGAATTCTACTCCTGATTTAAAGTATTCTGAAACTATTTATATTCAATCTGTTGTAATTTGTAATTAAATATATGCAGAACATTATTTTAAACATAGAAGCAGAATTCACTGTTTTCTACTATGGCTTGTATAAACCTAACTGAAATAAATTGAAATTTGGTAGGCATAAGTAGCATCATTTTGAGATAATGTGAAGGAAGGATTGAGGGCATTAATATGATAATGCAGAATCATAAAGCTGGAAGTGTCCATTTACTCCATCAAGCCAAAGCCCTATTCATTGCAGGAATCCAATTAAAGCATCTTAGACAAATGGCTATCTAGCCTCTGCTTCTACCCATCCAATGAATGGGAGCCCCTCACCTCACTGAGTAACTGTTCTTACTATTTCTAACATTCAGTCAGAATCTACCATCCTATAATTTAAACTGGCTATTCCATGTCCTGCTCTCTGGTATGAGAACAAGCAGGTATTTTTGATATTTGAAGAGTTGTTAGATGTTTGTATCATCTCTTTGCATCTATGAGCCTATTTGACTGCTAGGACAAACTATCATGCTAACTTCTGGTAATTATTTCATTTCCCCCCCTAAGGTGTTTACAGATAGATCTCTCTTTTCAATACCTGAGAAGATGCTAGAGCAGATCATAAAGTGATCTACCTGCAAACATCCAAATTACAGAGTCATCAGTCTCTAGTTTCCTTTTCTCCCATGTTGAAGGCAGAGATGGTATTTGCTTCTATTCAGTCATGTAGCACCTTAGCAATTCTCCAGTTTTCTGGGAGATAAAATATAAGGGTTCAGCTGCACCATCAGCTTGTTCCCTTAGTATCCTAGGATGCAATTCATCTGGTCCTGGAGATTTAACCTTATAACTGTTTTCAAGTCCTGAAGGGATGTCGCACAAAAGATAAAGACCTGTTCTTTATAATCTGAAAATTAAGATATAGAATAACTAAACAAAGCAGTTTTGACTAAATGTTAGAAAAAGCTTCTTAACAGTCAGAATAGTTTGGCAATGAAGCCAATTACAGATGGAGGTGATAAGCTCCTGTTTGCTGAATGTCCAACAAAGGCTGGATAACCATTTGTCATTAATGCTTTAAGCTGGATTTCTGCATTGATCAAGGGGTTGGGTTTGATGGCTAAATGGCCCTTCGAACTCCACAATTCTGTAATTGTTTTTCCAGTGCTGAACAGAGTGTGATTAGAGATAGCTCCTTTGCAGTTGAGGCTGGGAAAACAGAGACAATTTCTGTTCAACAAAGACAGGTCTCCAAGGTGCTCAGACCCATGAGTAAGGCAGAGTGGAAACAATTATAGGCTCCATTATGGCTTTTTGATTACAGGAACATTCCCCTATTTGACCACTATGATAGTATCCTATGGTTCCTGATCAAGATGCAAGTTTGAGTGGCAAATTCTTTTTGCATGAAGGTTGATGAGGGAGGGAGGAATTGCTTCCATTTTCTTCTTTCTATGCAGAGTTGCACTGAAAGAGACAACTTTTAACCCTGAATGAAGTGTTGAGATATTATATGTAATCTAAGTACTCTCAGATTCTTAACTATGCTGAAATATTTTATACTTAATGTCTTATATATTATTTCTGATTTTCTAAATGGAAGAAATGAAAGGTTCTTGATATATTTTTTTTCTTTCTTTGTTCAGATTACTGGCTTGCAAGCTACTTTACAAAGCTTAGAATCTGGAAACAACATTCACATTCCTGTGATGAGAGGTAAATATTTTGCTATAAACAAAAAGTGAAAGCTTAAGAGAAAATGTTTACATCTCATGGTATTATGCATATTTCTAGAAAATTAACATTTTTCTACATATTAAATTTAGACACTATTTAAATAATCTTCAATGTACAGAGACTCAAATGGTTCAAAACTAATGCTGTTTTATACTAAGTTATGCATGTGTTTATGTATTTACATATTTAACTTATTATACTGCTGACTTCCTTTTGGCAGTTTACAATAACATATAAAATCAAAATTTAAAAAAAACAAACTACCATTAAAAACAATTAAATGCAACATTAAAACCCAGAAATAATGTAAGTCCCATAATTCAAAAGAGAGAACATTCCAAACTGAGTACCTTCCAAAAAACAAGAGAAATCCTAAATTGCTGTGAGACAAATTACAGGTGAACCTCCTCAGAAAATCTCAATAAATAAGCTAGGGCATTGGGATCTCCAGTATCTATGTCTACATTTTTTGTAAAAAAAAGAAAGATAATTTGTTGAGAATCATGCATGATTATAGACTCCTGAATTCTGTATCCATTAGGGACCACTACCCAATGCCTCTTTTTTCAGATCTGCTGAATTACCTTCAGAATATAATGTGTTTTCTCTATACTGGACTTGAGAGGAACTTACAATTGGATCTGAATGAAAGAGTTCCATGAATGTTTAATAGCTTTTGACATCCACAGTAATGCCCTTTGGATTGGTTAATTGCTCTGTGGTCTTCTCCAGATTCATGAATGAAATGTTTTCCAATATTTTAGACAAATATATACTGATGTTCTAGGATGACTTTCTGATTTTTTCAGAAGATCCATCCTTACATGAAACACATCAGAAATGTCTTAGAACCTCTTCATATACACAAGCTTTTTGCTAAGTTGGAAAAATGTTGATCTTCACCATTTGGATTATTTGGGTTATTGAATCTCTGCAAAAGTAGTACAGGTAGTCCTGGAGTTACGACCATTTGTTTAATGACAATTAAAAGTTACAGCAGTGCTGAAAAAATGGACTTATGACTGGTCCCCAAAGTTACAGCCATTACAGCACCCCCACGGTCACATGATCACGATCTGGATGCTTGGCAATCTGTTTGCACTTATGACCAAGCACCCCATGATCACATGATCACTATTTGCAACCTTCCCTGCAGGCTTCCCACTCTAGGACAACAGAGCTGAAAGGAGACGTAATGTAATCCACTCATCATATAGGAGACTAAGGACAAAAGAATTGGGGGGGGGTGCATGTATGTATAGTGCGCTAGGTTATTCTTACATGACGCTGGAGAATTTGTGGTTCATTATGTTCTGGGAACTCAGTCATATATTGGCATATTGTCTGAATATAATATGCTTTATTTGTATGGCATAGCAAATTAGGTGAACATAGGAGTTATATTCTCTTAATTCTGGTTTAGATCTTGCCATGTTGTATGAACCCACCCATGATATATAATCAACCTGCTTTTTCCTAGTTTGGGATTGACATCAAGATTGGATGTCATTATGTTCTGAATAATTGGACTTATAATGCCAATTTAGATCCCAATACAACTCATAGATTTTCTATAAGTTGATGGAACAGAATTACAAATTCTATTGTGGCTTACCATTCTGGGATTTTAAAAAAATGTTCTGACTGAATGGGCAGTATAAAAATTGTTCATAAATGAATGAAATAAATTTATTTCTGTTGAATTTCTGCACCCCTCTATGATAAACTGTTTATGCTTTATAGTAGGTCATTGGTGTGATAGAGAGGCTGGGTTAGAGGGACCTTCTCAAAGAGCACTTAGAGAAGCTAAGGAACAGAAAGTACATTCTGGAGTTAATGCACACAATTCAGCCAAAGATCCAGCAAAGCAGATGAACAAGAGATATCCAAAGGTATGAATATTCTAATCTGTTTATTTATTTTAGAAATTTATAAGACTACCCAATGACTCTGTGTAGTACACAGTAAAAACAACAATACAATACAATACAATTAAAACAAACAAAAAACCACCATACACTATATAAAGTAACCAGTAAAAGACAATGAAACTCACAGGACCCACCATCCACTCTAACCAAAAGCCTGGGGAAAGAGCCAGGTTTTCAGAGCTCTTTTGAACAATTCCAGGGGTGGAGGCCAGATGTATCTGAGGGGGGTGTTTCAGAGATAGTTTATTTTAGGTAGAATTTGAGCTATTATAATTTACAATAGTAGAATCAGAGTCCTAGAATTGGAAGGAGCCATTTAGGTTAAGTACAATCTCCTGTTCAGTGCAGTAGCCCTTACTTATTTATTTAACTTTTTTTGAAATGTGGGTGGCATACATCAGAGTAAAAATACAAAATAGAAACAAAACAAAATCCCTCAGATGGCCGCTGGAGCCCTTCAATACAGGTTAAAATGTGGTGGAATAGTATTGTGTGAATGGCTTTATGAAATGCCAGCAGGGAAGGAGCTGCTCCGATCTCTGTGTAAGGTTTACCCCATTCGTCTAGAGAAACTCTTGTGACATGTGTGTTCAACAAAGAAGTTTACTCAAGCGTAACACAGCAGTTACAAACAAAGCCAGGACTGGCTTGGCATGTTTCATGATACAGTTTATAGTTCTCCCCTTCCCGCGCTTTGCCCCGTTGCTAAGTTACATATTGCAGGT